ATCAGGTGGATTCTACAGCCATCCTGCTGGAGAAGGGGCGTTGTCTTACCTGAACGCCTTTTCTCAGCAGGATGATGTAGAATCCACACATCCCCATACAGATAGTCTAGGCAAGTGATTAACAAGGAACTACTACAGAGAATTCATCAAGCAGCTCTCGTCTCAGTCAAAACTGGAGTCACGCCCAGAGGAGGGGTGTGGCCAAAGTTTTGACCTAGTCTGTCGGGCTGGAAGGCTGTCATGAAACCCAGTCAGGTGGATTCTACATCATCCTGCTGAGAAAAGGCGTTCAGGTAAGACAACGCCCCTTTTCATCATTGTTGTGCTCTATTTCTGTAGAGATGTAGTTATTTCTTACATATAGAGCAACTCCGCCTCCTCTTTTATTTTGTCTGTTTCTTTTAAATAATTTAAATCTCTCTAGCTGTGTGTTCCATTTGTGGGTTTCATCCCACCATGTTTCCGTAATGGCAACAATATCATATCTGCCCTCATTAACCTGAATTTTTAGTACACCCTGTATGCTGTTCATACTCTGCGCATTGGTATATAGACATTTGAGTCCTTTATGACTGACCCTGTGTTTACTTTCTACATAACCTGTGTGGTGCCTGAGTTCCCCTATTGTCTTACTACCTATTTGGTTAGTGCACTTTGTGTGACACTTGCTATTAGAAGCTTGATTTTGCTTAACAGCAAGGTTGATATTCTTGTCCACACACACATCTATGTTACATGCACTGATAGCCCTATAGTTTTTAGATTGCCGGGGACAGGGATGTTCTGTATCAATTAACTCACTGTCCCCGCTGTTTAGTTTAAATATTCTTCCAGAAAATCTGTGAATTTATAGCCAAGTAACTCAGTCCCTTTTTTTGATGGATGCAAACCATCTCTTTTGTACATTTTTTCATTGGACCAACTACAGACATTGTGACTAATATATCCAAACCCTTCCCCTTTACACCACTCCTTTATCTACATATTGAATTGTGCTATACGCTGGCCTTTTCCATTTTGCTCCTTATATACTGGTAAAACTTCTGAAAAAGTAAGCCAACAGCCTGTTCTACTAAGTTCCTGCCCCAAGCTCTGGAAATCGTTCTGCATAGAGAGTACATCTTTTTGGGACAGAACGTTAGTGCCAAGATGTACAATAGCCTCCACGTCACAGTCCTTGCTAGCATTCTTGATTATTTTAGAAATACGCTTCTTGTCCCTTCTGGCAGTAGCACCTAGAAGACATCTGACCTCTTTCGAAACCTCTTGTGTCCTTTCCTAAATTTACATCCCTTATAATTGAATCACCTACCAGAAGGTGGCTTCTCTTTTTGGATGCCTTTTTGTTCTTGCATGACAGATGTGTAATACCTGATTCATGCTTCTCCCTGTCAAAAACAAGTTCTTCATCTCGGACCACAATTCCCTGCTTATTTGAGTTATTATCACAAATACCTTTACCTGTCTCCTTAATGTCCCTATTAAGGTCAGCAAGGGTACTGTATCTCTTGTGCAGGGACACAGTGAAAGCTTTGTGTTTATGGCTCACAACTCACACCCTGCCAGATCCCACGGTTGTCCACACTGCCCTTCTCCTGCGGGATCTTTGTGGCAGAGGGGGCTGCTAGCACGGAGGCTCAGTAGAGTAGTGGGACTGAACTGGACACCTACTTTCTGCCTGAAGAGTACAGATTACAGACCCTAGATAAATAATCTGTCCTTGTAGATTAGTAATTTGTTTACAGATAGGACAGTTACCAAGTTTGAAAAGGTTATTGCGAAAGACAGCTGCAAGGCAAGTGTTGCACTGAACTAAGCCAGACATTCTTAGATACAGGGAATCTCAGACACACTTGCCGCTGTTTTTGATTTTTACTTATACAATTCAAGAGTTAAAGTTTGTAAAACCTCTCAGCAAAAGCCTTCCAGCAAATTCTAGGCAGCCAAATACAATGGAGATCCAGTCAGGGCCCCAGTTACCTTTGTGTTGCAGCCTGCCAAGAGTTAAAGTTTGTAAAATTAACTAAACCCAAGTGCCAGTCTATTGTTGAACCCACAGTAATTTTAAAACTTCCTTCATAAATCTGAGCAACACACCCCTTCTTAAAAGGGAGAAATATAAACACTTACATACAACTGTTCATGTGTTGCAATATTCTTTCATCTCGTGCATTGTTAAGGAAATGAAATTGTTGATTAAAAACAACTGAACACCCTCAGATACTGCTTTTTTATGACTAAGGAATTAGTTGGTTAAAATGTAACTGAAGGCATTCACTGTTGACAGAATTTCAGATGTACAGGAAGTTCTCAATTTACAATCTTTCATTTAATGACCTTTCAAAGTTTGAAGAAAGTGACTTATGGCCATTTTGACATTTACCTGACCTTATGGTCACATGATCAAAATTGGGATGCATGACAATTGGCTCATATTTATGAAGGTTGCACTGCCCCAGGGCCCTGGGATTATCTTTTTTGACCTGACAGGCAAAGTGGGGAAGCCAGATTCGCTTTACAACCTTGTTACTAACTTAACAACTGCAGTGATTCACTTAACAACTGTGGCAAGAAAGGTTGTAAAATGAGGCAAAATTCACTTAACCATCTCACTTAGCAACAGAAATGTTGGGCTCAGTTGTGGCCGTAAGTCAAGGACTACCTACACTTGCAGCAGGTTATGAAGGCAAACACTTTTAATTGACTTCACATTACAAGGTATTAGAGAGCACTTGCTCGATCTTCAGTCTCTTGCTTATCCTTAGTCACATCAGCCCACAGCGAAAGACAGATATTTTTTATTTATGTCATAATATTTTATACATTTGTTCTACTCATATATATTATTTCATAGCTTGTGTGTTTAGCATTTGTAGGAATGAGTGCTGCTATTTTTTATGTTCTTTAATATCTTATTCATAACCTGTTTGGATCTACTCCTAACTGGAAGACAACTGATGAACATTGGATTCCCGTGCCATGCCTGGCATAATAATTCTTGAATATGGTAAAATATGAGTTTGTGCATTTTTATTTATCTGAGTTTCTTATTGTGGTTACCGGAAATTTAACCGAATGTCTGGTTAATTTCTTGGAAGAAGTTTCAAAACATCAGTGGGTTTATTGATAGTAATGAAGGGCTAAATCTAGCATTTTTTCATCTGGTAAAGCTGCTACCACATTGTCTGTAACAGGAGCTTCTAACAAAGAAATTTACAGTGGAGGTATGCTTTGAAGTGATTATGACTTATTTTTAAAAATGGAAATTGAAAATAGAAATAATAAAATTTAATTATTTAACAAAATTGCAATGACAAGCTAATATTGTTATTTTCAATACGTATATTTGCAGAAGTACCCTTTATAAGAAAACTAGTATGTAAAACTGCAAATGTTTTTTTTATCTGTTTGTTTTCACAGGCTTTTCATAATGCAGGGTCCTAACATCAGATCACTTGTGCCTAAATGTGGCACAGCAGAGCCAGCCCAGCATTTTGAGTCCGAACCTTCAACTAAGATTTGCAATTTTTTTGAGAAAGAGCTGAAAAATGTTAAAAAGGAAGCTGAATCTGTATTGTCTGTATTTACTCTGAATTGCTTGCAGAGCTATAGAAAATAAAACTTCTATAAAATGATCAATTATTAGACCTGAATAATAGAGTGCTTTGCATTAATATGGAATTGAAGAATGGCTGCTGAATGTGGTATGTGGTGCAGTATATGCAATATATGACTGACATGTGAAAATAAACAGAATACTTAGCAAATGATTCAGCCTTGTATAAGAAGCAAGGCAAGATGTATGATGTATTTTGCTTATGTATTTATAGATAAATTCATAAAAATATTTATGGTGCCTTTAGAGGTGTGTGATTAGACATGAACATGAATTTGGTTTCATGTGAAGATGATTTTGTGCTGCTAAGAATCAAAATTCTATTCTATTTTGCAGCAAATACTAGATAGCTTGTACAGGGTACTGAGAAACATGCATTTGAATATGAAATGCCAAGGTAACTGTTTTAAAGGAAAAATGGAGGAAATAATTGCATGAGATATACATATAGTATATGTCCAAAAATGAGAGCTCGTTGCTAATTTTGCATACCTTTCTTCAGTAATTACTACCTTTAAATATAATAATTTATTAAATCTAATAGATTTTGACCTTCTAGCTATAGGGAAAGGTCTTGCTGAGAGGAATGAATGTTTGTTCAAGAATGTAAAAATCTTTATGAGGGCATGCGTCTGCCCACTTGGTTAGAGAGTGAGATTGGAGGGATGGGTATTTCAGGGGAGGAGGAGGAGAAGGAGGAGGAGGAGAAGGAGGAGGAGGAGGATTTATATTCCATCTTTATTTTGTACAACTCAAGGCAGCATACAAAATGCTCCCACCTCCTATTTTTTCCATAGTAACAACAATCTTGTGAGGTTGTTTAGCTGAGAAAGAGTTGCTAAGGCAAAGTCACTGAGTCAGCTTTCATTTGGGTACGTTAGAAGAGAAAGAGTAAAAAAAAATGTGTGCTGAATGAAAGAGGACAAAATATTAAACTGTGTTGAAAAAATTTGGTCTTATTGGGAAAATAATGAGAATCAAATTATGAAATAAAACACATGAAGAAAGAATGAATGAGTTGAGAGAAAGGGAAAGGTTGAGAAAAATCATAGTTGGATAGAGGTCCTTAAAAAGAGAGAAGTTAGTTGTTTAAGGGACAAAAGACAGTGTGTGAATCAGTGTCTGGTTATGAAGGAAGTAAGTCATTATCTTTGTTCAATCATTGAGATTCCTGGCCTAGTTGTGATTATAAATGGAGGATTATGACAGGCATTCATTCAAAAATTCTAAATTTGAAAATGATCAAGGATTCATCTTATCCTAACCACAACAAGCATGGCATAGTGATTCAGGACCTTCAGGTAATTTAAATGAATCAGCTGCATCCTGTGTTCCTTTTTACCTGTAACTTTCTCTGTTTTCTTTCTTTTTTGTTCTCCTTCAGTTACCTCTGACAGAAGTGGTAGAGCCAATTGACTTTGAGAAATACCTTAGCACGCACTTGCCAGGTGCTGAACCAGGCCCACTTCGTGACCTGATTGAGTTCCCTGCAGATGACCTGGAAGTGACCCATGAATCCCGGTACTGTCGGACCCTAGAACCTGGTGTCCCTGAGGATGAGTAAGTGATATGATGGATAATTACTGAGATAGTTCTATCATATAGTTCCTCATTCCTTTTACCCCATAAGACACAAGGATACAAGCAATACCAGCGCAGACAATTTGACAGCATGCTTGCATTTTCTGAACTAGAGCTTTTTAATTTTGTGCTGCTGACGAGTGGAAACATGTTAAAATGAAAGTGGGTTTTAAAGAGGAAATCAATAGTTAATTTCAAAATATCGCTAAATGGCAATTTTATGCTATTTGAGGCCTTTTGGATTATATAAGTATGAGGAATACAACTACCAGATGTGTTACTACTGGGTATTACAGTATAAGATGATTTTGAGTGGATTTCCCTTGTAGACTTTTCCTAGAATGACCTATGGATACTACTTTATTATCTTTCTTTTCACATGAGAATAGCATAAAGATGGGAAAAAATATCTGAGATATAGTTGGTGTATTGCTGGATATTGAGTTGCAAGAATTTTCTAAAATGATCATCAGCATCCAAGGACCTGGCTGACTCTATTATTATTATTATTGTTGTTGTTGTAATAATAATAGTTGGAAGGAACCTTGGAGGTCATCTAGTCCAACTCCCTGCTCAGGCAGGAAATCCTAAACAGTGATGGCGAACCTTTTAGAGATCGAGTGCCCAAACTGCAACCCAAACCCCACTTATTTATCATAGGGTGCCAGATGGGCGTGGCCCACTGGGTGGGTATGGCTGGCATGGGCATGACCTACTGGGTGGGTGTGGCCAGCTCGACATCATTTGCGTCGGGCACTAGTGCAGGACTGGGCAGGACTGGGGCGGATCTGAGGGTCTCCGGCAGAAGGGGGTTGGGACCGGGGCGAGTATCAGGGCATGGCACTTTTACTAGGAATGAACTGAATACAGTAACAGTCAGGCAAGATCTGAAGCAAAATTCACGAGAAGAAACAAATGGAAACAAATCCCAGAGCCTACCCCCCAGTAGCCAAGCAATCAGAGTTCAAACATCGGCCAAGAACATGTTTTGGGAAAGTCTCTGGCCAGGTGCACCATTTATGTATTCCTTTATGTATTCTGAAGCCAAAATGTTAAACAACCCAAGCTGGCCTGCCTGAGACCAGGCCTCCTCATCACTTCTCAGAAATTTTATTTCCACCTCCTGCATTCTTCCCCTCCGAAAGACTCAGTGCTCCCCCCTATAGTTTCCATGGCAGCTGGCAGCAAGTTTGAAAGAAAGCAAAGATGCAGGCTGACATTAAGCCAGCTTGTTGTTTTTACAAAGTATTTTTACACATGTTTCTTCTTTAGGAAACAAGATGCCCGGGTAAGAGATGCTGTCCAAGCCTACATGGAAGATTGGGTCATCGTTCATAGGAAGTAAGTTTAGTAACATTTGTTTATCATTTACAGGGTCTCCATTGTTGCAGGCTTTTTAAGAAACATTAAGAAGTGGTTTTCTTGTAGGTCAGGCATGTCAAACTCATGACGTCATGTGACGTTGCGCAATGTATCGCAACTTTTCCCCCATTGCCAGCAATGGGGTGGGCGCGGTTTCGGTGTGACGCATCCAGCCCGCAGGCCGGCAATTTGACATGCCTGTTGTAGGTGGTGATAATGATATAAGTTTTAAACACATGAGCCAGTTTATCCTTTTCGATCTGGGTTGGGCATACCTGCATTTGTATTAACTTTTTAGGTGATTGTCTATTTGATATATAGGAGTTATATATTCAAAGCCATATTTATAGTTTTAACAATGACCCAGTAATGATTCAGTGAGATGTGTCTTTGACATGGAAATCACTGTATGGAAGAAGAGCTTAGCTTCTATGTGATATCAGTATATTTCATTTTCCTGCAGCCCATGTCTTTCCTTATTAAATAGGTGAGTCCAGTAAACTTTTTTTATACATATTTTTATTAATTTTTATAATCACAAGTGCTTAATATTTTTCAGTTAATTTTCTAGTCAGGAATTGGTATTCTCATCGTACATCTCTTATTCTCCTGGGAATCTGCTTCAGGACTACAATATCTTTTTCTTTGTATCGCAGAGGATCATCTCTCACTCTTCTCAAAATCTCATCCCTTATCGATATTTTGACAAATCTAACATGTACTTCTCTGGGGACTTTATTTCTTCTCACGTAGCTTGAGTTGACTCGAAATATTTGATCTAACTCTTCTTTCATTTCTTGTTTCCCGATTTCCAGTTCTTCAGCCAATAGTTCCGTTATCAGATCCGCAAGGTCCGCAAGATCCTCTTCTTTATCCTCTATTATGCTTTGGAATCTTAGGAAATAAGATGCCTTTTCCATTTCCGTAACTGCAATTGAATCTTCCAATTTTTTGTTGATCTGCATCAGCTTTTGGTTCTCATCTTTCAATTCTGCCAACTTTAATCAGTCGGTCTCTAATGACATATCTTCTACTTTTTAAATTCTTTGTTCATTTTTTTATGACAATCTGTTTAAAGTTTTCTAATTGGAAATCTGTTGTTAATTTTTTGGTTCATTTTATCAAGGTTGTCTTTTGTCTCCTCATGATTTTTCCTTGTATCATCCTTGTGAGAGGAAATTGCTTCTTGAATCGCTTGTAGTGTTGCTTACATCTCCTTCTGGAAATTTCTAACTTTTTCTTGTTGGAGCATTGCTTCAATTGATCTCTTATACACCAGGCTGGATGAGGATGAGGATGAGGCTGAAGGCGCTTTCTTACCAGTTTTACTTAAATTTGGAACACTCATTTTATTTCTACTCCCCCCAAACTCCTTTTTCAAACTCTAAGACTTTCCCCACACCTGCCTTCAACCAAGCCATTAACACTATATTCAATACAATATATCTTTCAAAATTATCTTAAATGGTTCTTGTAGTCCTTATCTGTAATCTCTAGATCAATAAGATAAAAAAAGAAATTTATAATCCACTTCTGAAGATGGGGCCCACTTTCAAAAACAGTTAAAACAATTCAAGTTGGTAATCCATAGTCCTTCTCCAAGAAGTTTCTCCACTATTTCAGTTTCCACAGTCCATAGGTAGTTCTCCAGTCCAACGTTAATAATTTATAATCCACTGGGCTCCCCATACCAATAGGAGGGATAAAAAGGAAAAAGTAAAAAAAAGTAAAATTTATCCCAAGATCCGATTTTGCCCCTTTGCCAAAAATTAGTCCAAAACATCTTGCTAGCAGTAGTTCCTTACCACTCACTCTGTCTTTAAGTAGCTGTAAAAATCACAATTCAAACAATATTTATAATCCAAACAAATAGGGCTCACTTCCAAAAACAATTGTTCAGCATCCAAAGTTGCCCCTTAGTCAAAATTTATAATCCACCAAGACCTACTATTTGACTTAATAGTCCATAAGTCTTCTCCAAGAGGTTTTTCCACTATTTCAGTTTCCACTATCCATAAATAATTCTCCAGTCCAACGTTAAGAATTTATAATCCACGCTCATTCTGTCTTTAGGCAGCTTGTAAAATAATCCAAAGAAAAAAACAGATGGTTTCAAAGTAGTTTATATCTTTTAACTATAATCCATCCTGCAGAAAAGAAAACAGCCCAAAGAAACTCTTCTCTTTTCAGCTATAATCCATAGGACTATGAAGGTCAGAAACATCAAACATCAAAGTGTTTAAACTGTAAACTATGTCTGGGCATCTAGCCAAGTTCTAAGTTTCTAGACAAAATATTAGAAAAGTTCAGTAAATGGTTTAGTGTGGTTCTTTGTTCTTGCCACTAGATGTCCTCAGATGCCGATTTTGTAATTTTCCAGTTAGTTTAAACCAAGTTTGATCCAATATTCTCCAAAAATAATATAAAATAATATAAAAAGAGGAAAAAATTTAAAACTCCCCAAACTTTTCTTTTTTCTGTTTCTCTCTGTTATATCTACAATGATGTTGTAAACTCTGTTTCCTCCAAAACACTTAAACCGCTGCCTTTTTTGGGAGGGAGGGATAACCCCCCCTCAACTCTGGGAAATTGCTTTTGGATATTTTTTTCCCCAGAACAAGTTTTCACATTGTAGAGAAAAAAGGAAAATAGTTTCACCCAAGTCCAAAATGTTGCTCACGCTTGTTTTGAATTGCTTTTCTCCTGGCTGTCAGCAGCTTCTGACTGGCTGCATAGATGGAGCCAGTCTTTCTCCTGCCTTTCCAGAGGGCTCCTTGGATCAAGTGGGTCGGCTACCACCTTTCCGTGATCTGCAAGGGTCCCCTCTTGGTCTGTCACCTCTACGGGATGACTTTCCGTCCTTTTCAGACCCATAGCAGGACGAAATCGAGCGTGGGAATCAGAGCCCTGATTCCCTATGCCTGCCTTGCTGCAGTGATGAAACCGGAAGTCTCCAGTCCAGTAAATCTTGTTGATTTCAGAATGTTTTGAATAAGATAGTGGACCATTGTATTCGCCATATAGGTAGTATGAGAAGATAATGGAATTCTGTCCTGGTCGCCATCCATTCTTCTTTCAGAATGTACTGAATAAACTGAAGTCCCCTGGATTTATAGGGCTGCTCAACTTAGTCAATGTGAATCTGGGAAGCATACAACAGAAGCAAACAGAAAAATAATCATAGTGTTAAAAAAAAGTATAAAGTATAAAATGCTGATCAAACAGAATAATTAGACAACCAAATGAAGATTTCATTCAACTTGACCTAAAACCCTGGGGAAATATATTTTCCCCCAGTTACTCTTTCACTATAATTTTGCAACAAACAAGCAGTTGAGCCAGCAGTTATGCCATATAACAGGGTTAAGTTTATTGATGGGAGAAAAATATTTACAAGTAGTCCTTGAGTTATGAGTTTAATGGAGCCTACCCATTCCACTTGTCACTTGAAAACTCGGAGTGAATCTTGTACCTCGAATGAGATCACTCTCTTGCTCATTAAGACACACGCAGCTCGTTAAGTGAACATGGAGGGCCTAATGATGGAACAGGCCCTCAAGGCCTTCCCAACCCATTAAGATACCTCATGCTTCCCCCTCCCTTCCTGCCGTGCCAGACTCACCTTGAAAAAAATCCGTCTTCTTTCTGCTGTGATTCCTGCTGCCACTTGGATCTGAGGCTGGGGGACGCTTCCGTGGCCCTCCAGCGACCCGATTCAGGCACCAGATGCCTTCTCCAGGCCACTGCCGCCTGGATCTGAGGCAGGGGGATGCTTCCGTGGCCCTCCAGCAGCCTGATGTGGGTACCGGAGGCCTTCTCCAGGCCACTGCCATCTGGATCTGAGGCTGGGGGAACGCTTGAAAAGCACTGAATAGGATATTACATCACATATTTACTTTTACTAAATATTTCTGAAGAGACATCTGGAGAAATGGGCCAGATGGGCCAGGCATTTTTGATATGTTTATAGTGTGTTTAATAATAGTGTTTGTCCAGACATAGTAGGCATATGATTGGAAAAGATATGCTCCCTGTATTAAATTCCTTATCTTTGGCTGGCAGAAAATACTTCAAATAAACATTCTTTAAAATATCTGTTTATTGGTTATGAACAAAAAGCTCTCAGAGCAGTTTCTACAGAAATGTAGGGCAACAATCGAAACCCTCTGAATTCTGTAATTGATCAGTGTAGAACCTGTGCCAGGTTCACACTTCCCCCTCCCCCCCTTTTTTTTGGGGGGGGGAATCTCAAAAACATTATCTTCCTCCATTCAGATCAAATGTACAAGCTTGCATCACTGCCCAACCTCTATAGTTCCTGGCAACTAACCTTGATTTCCAGAGACATGGAATAGAAGGCAGACTTTGACTTAGAAAGCCACATGATAGCTTGAGTGTAATTTAATAAAGATGATAATAAAGGAGTGGTAGAAAGAGAGGGAAGTTTGTTTGGGTCCCACCAATGCCCACTGTATATATGCTCCCCAAGAAAATGTGGTCATAGAAAGAAAGTTTCCCCTTCTCTGCTTTTGAAGGAAAATTATCCAGAGTCTTTTGGAGTAGGGTGGCTATAATAAATCTAAATAATGATGATGATAATAATAATAATAATAATAATAATAATAATAATAATAATAATAATAATAATAATAGTTGGAAGGGACCTTCTCTGTATGAGAAACGTAGAAAAATCCAGTTTAATTGTGAGAGTGATTGAATGCCAGTGTTGAAAATAATTTCGTTTTAGAGAAAGCAGAATTCTTAAGAAATTGTACAGTTCACTCAAATATTCATAGATAAATTAATCTAGAGTGCATTTGATTAGATTGCCTTTAAATCTTTTCTGCATTCATGCTATCAATAGTTTTCCAACAAGAGTAATATTGTTTTTCTGCCTTTGTTTAGGTACCAGAAACTGAGTACCATGTATAATGCCATGACTGCTGAGAGGCAAAGGGAAAGACAGAAAGGATTATTTAAGCAAGTCTTTGAATTAGATGAAGCAGTTGAAGAGAGGATCGATCAAGGGTGTACGGTAAGTCAAGTGAGAATGTAATAACTTATATTAGGCAACTTGTTTGTCAACCTTCAGATTTCTTTATGTAATACGGGTGAGAGGATGGTGTCCATCTGCCATAAGAATAGATAAGATTCAAACTAGAATCTTTAGTGAGTGATATCTTGATTCACAAAAAAATTCCACAAGTACTCTTTGGTTTATGTCCCTGACAGGAAAGTTGTGAGCCCAGCTATATCAACATTTGTGATCTGACTGGCCTTTCTGAACATATGGATTTGAAATTCAGGTTCCTATAAATCAGGCTATTGCATCTGTAAACATATCATCTAGGATTAAGCTGTAGAAAGGATTAAAATACATGCAATGTGGCAGATTTTCAGAACACAGCTTATTTGTTTTTACGCCAAAAGCATATGCAGAAATCTCATAAACTCCAAACCTTATCTAAAACCAGTTCTAGAATGTGAGGCCATATTCAGAAGTGCACAGTGTACAGTAGTCCTCGACTTATGGACATAATTGAGCCCAACATTTTTATTGCTAAGCAAGAGTTAAGTGTGTTTTGCTCCATTTGACAACCTTTCTTGCCATATTTGTTAAATTAACAACTTGCAACATATTTGTAGTTGTTAAATTAGTAACGTGGTTGTTAAATGACTTCCCAATTGATTTTGCTTGTCAGAAGGTTGCAAAAAGTGATCATATGACATCAGGACTCTGTAACTGTCATAAATACATACCCAGTTGATCATGTGACTATGGGGATGCTGCAGGGATCGTAAGTGTGAAAAATGGTCATAAGTCACTTTTTCAGTACCATTGTAACTTTGAATGGTCACTGAATGAATAGTTGTAGGTCAAGGGCTACCTGTACTATCATTTCCCTAAATGGCTTTGTGTCAGAATCCAATTATATTTCATCTTTAATTATCAAATATAGAAACTCCCAATTCTGCCTTCTCTGGATTCTGCCATAAGAGGGAGAGAAGGGGGAGAACAAAGGGGCTTTATGGCCCTCACTTCCTTCAGTATACTTCAAGGAGCTGAATGCTGAATGTGTGTTTATTGTAACCTCAAAGCCAAAGAACCTTACCATAACAAAGAAGGGTATTTGCCTTTCATGTAGTTATCTGAAGTCTCCATCCAGACGGAAGAAAGAAGAAAAGGGGTGGAATTGTGATACTTGAAACTATCACTGGAAGGGGGGTTGATTGGGTGGGACTACTGGGGAACCCCTTAAAACCTTGAATGGGAGGGCTTGGACCCCAAGTCCTGTCTAGCATGCCTGCAACCACTTCTTCTTAATAAAGGATTCCTGTTGGAAGAATTATTCCAAGAGTTCTGTCTTCTTAAGATGCAAAGTGGGGTGGGTCCTTACATTAGACAGGACTTGCAAAATTAATCCACCTGGAAGGGAGACCCTTGCCAGGGGATTTTGCAAAAATTGACCATGTCAGAAAATGGAGCAAGAGAGGGGGAAAACTCCCTGGAAAGAGAGCCGCTGACCCAGTTGGAACCTTGCCAGATGTTGGGATCTGAGAGGTCAGATTCCTCGGGAGAAGAAGTGGTGGAGACACGGGACCACAAGCCTCGCTGGTCAATGGGCGTTGGAAAGAAAAGTGAGTGGGGAAAGGAATCAAGAAAGGTGACCCTGAGACGGGGGACCAAGAAACCAGAATGGAAGCAGGAGATGGAGAAATCCCTGCACGCATGTGAAGAGGGAGGAAGCTGGGCACCGTACTCAGACTGGATCCTAGAGAAAGCTATTGACCTGATGAAGAGAACTCTCAGCTCCCTAGGAGAGGAGAATACTGAGTCCTACGGCCGCCCCAGTTCCTGGAGCCACAAAGGGAGAGACACCGAGGGGGACGTGGAACCTGCAACCCCAGGGACATCTACTGATCCAGGAGCCCCCACCGCCTACCGGACCACAGATGGCAATCTGGACGGAAGACACTACCACCCACAACGGAGGCACCGATCCATTCCAAGATGTCCACCGTTGGAGGTGAAATTCAAAGGGGAGCCAACACGCTTGGGGTTTTTCCTAACCCAAGTCCTCAGCTACATGGAGGAATATGGGCAGGACATCCCCAGCGACAAAGCCCGCATCCGGATCGTGCAATCTGCCCTGGATGGACCAGCTGCAGATTGGGTGGTGAACTTGCATGACTCCAATGCCCCAGAACTCAGTAACTTCAACCGTTTCATGTCCTCTTTGAGAAGACGATTTGAAGACCCCCTGGCTGATCGCAAAGCCCGTGAAAGGATAAAAACGATGAGGCAAGGCAAACGCCCAGTGGCTGAGTATACACAAGAATTCCGGGCCATTGCCAGCAAACTGAATTGGCCAGAAGACATCCTCCTTGGCCATTTCAAAGACGGACTAAACTATGATCTATATGATGCTTGCCTGCCCCGAGGGGACCCACATCGACTTGAGGAATGGTACGTCTTGGCAGAGGAAGCAGAGATCGACATATTGAAGAGGCACCGCCGAGGAAAACAATGGAGCCGCCCCCCGCCTGAGCTGACACACCAACCGGTGAAATCATCGGATACAGCCAAGAAGCAAATGGGGTGTTTCAAGTGCGGAAGAGAAGGGCATCGAGCTGTAGAATGCCGCCCAAAGGCCCCCCCAGCACAACCCAGACAGATCCCCAATCAACAAACCCGGAAAGTATTCAGCTAAGCCAAAAGAAACGGCCATGAGAATGATGGAAATTGCAGAACCCCCACCTCTGCTCACCAAGGGGAAAGAACTCCAGCCTACACCACAGGGCCGGTGAATGCCTCAGATGACAGCTCGGAGGGCGAACCCCTGGTAAGTGGATGCATCACACCCATCCTCAAAACAGTGACTATATTAATCCCCCCCATGCCCGAAGCTGTGAAGGTGAAAGCCTTAATAGACTCTGGCTGCACCCGCTGCCTCATTAGCCCAATACTAGTGGGGAATCTGGGCATCCCATCCAGGAGACTGGAACAACCAATCTCATTTGGCCAGCTAGATGGATCCATAGCAGGGGGAGTGCCAGCTACCCTAGCCACTCTGCCAATACACCTCTCCCTGGGCAACCATGAAGAGGACATAACGTTTGTGGTGACCCCAGGTATGGAATGCCCAATGATTCTAGGGATGGAATGGTTGAAAAAATGGAACCCCTGGGTAAACTGGAGGACGACAGAAATCAAATTCCCGAAGGGGGACCCTATGGACTTAAAACCCCAAGGGAGGCTACCAGAATCAAGAATAGAAAAAGCATCCATAGGAGAGGAAAAAAGATTAACAGAAATACCAGAGGAATATAGGGACCTTGCTGAAGTCTTCAGTGAGGAGAGGGCGAATGAGCTTCCCCCCCACCGACCCACAGACTGTACCATTGAATTCAAGCCTGGGGCAAAACTCCCGAAGCCCAGATTATACTCCATGAGCCCAAAGGAGAAGGAGGAAATGGAAAGATTTATTAAAAAAAAACCTAGAGAGAGGTTTCATTGAGCCAGCCAAGCCTAAAGTGGCTGCCCCGGTCCTTTTTAGAGAGAAGAAGGATGGCTCTTTACGTTTATGCGTGGATTATAGGGCCCTGAATACAATCAGTGAAAGCAACCTATACCCTCTGCCCCTCATGAAAGACATGCTGTCACACCTATCGAAAGGGAAATTTTTTTCTAAACTAGACCTAAGGGAAGCTTACTATCGCGTGAGAATTAAGGAAGGGGACGAATGGAAGACTGCATTTAACTGCCCCATGGGGTGCTATCAATTCAAAGTCTTGCCATTTGGATTACAAGGGGGCCCTGCAGTCTTTATGCAATTAATCAATGACGTTCTAAGGGAGCACCTGTTTAAGGGGGTCCTTGTTTACTTGGACGACATTCTTATCTTTACTGAAACAAAAGAAGAACACGTCAAACTTGTCAGAGCGGTTTTAAAGAAGCTGCGAGCCGCTCACCTATATGCCAAACTCTCAAAATGCGAATTCCACCAGGAAAGGATAGACTACCTAGGCTATCGCATATCCCCACAGGGCATTGAAATGGACCCAGAGAAGGTCAAAGCAGTATTAGATTGGGCACCACCCCGCACAAGAAAGCAACTACAAAGTTTCCTGGGCTTTGCAAACTTTTACCGCCAATTCATCCCCTCATTTGCCCAGATAGCCTTGCCCCTCACTAACTTACTAAAAACGAAGGGAGCATCCTCAGTAAAACCTAGCCAGCCACTAACATGGACAATGGAGTGCCAAGCAGCGTTTGAGAGACTAAAGAGACTTTTTTCTGCCGAACCAGTACTAAGGCACCCAGACATGGACAAGCCCTTCGTAATACAGGCAGATGCAAGTGATGTGGCAGTGGGGGCTGTGCTATTACAAGAAAATGATGATGCAGTATTGCAACCCTGTGCATATACATCCAAGAAACTCACGGAAACAGAACAGCGCTGGCCCGTATGGGAGAAGGAGGCTTATGGGATACGTTGGGCATTACTCACGTGGCGACAGTTCCTGGAAGGCAACAAAATCCCCTTCCAGGTGTGGACTGATCACAAAAATTTAGAAGCCCTGAAAACTTCCAGGAAACTCAATCCTAAACAAGCCCGCTGGTCCCAGCATTTTCACCAGTTCCAATTTAAGCTCAAACATTTACCAGGAAGAAAGAACTTCCTGGCAGATGCACTATCTCGCATGCCCCAATATAACAGCGCACGAACCACAGACTCTAGGCCAATAATGGCAGAGTCACAACTGGCGGCACCAGTAACCACAAGAACCCAAGCCAAAATAAAACCACAACTGGACAGCCAAACTAGAATTGAATTCAGAAAAAGTTTGGAAACAGACGAATGGTTCCAGAAAAACAAAAATGTGTGCACAATGAGAGACAGGTTGCCTTGGGTAGGGGAAAAGTTATATATACCAACAACTCAAAGAGTAACTTTCATGCACCTTTGCCATGACACAAAATCAGCAGGGCATTTTGGATTTGTAAAAACTTTACATTTAATTAAACGGCAATTTTGGTGGCCATCCATGAAAAAGGACATTGAAAGTTATATAGCCAGTTGTCCAAAATGTGCCACGGCAAAGAGGTTGCAAGGGAAATTGCAAGGATTATTGCAAACAGTGGCAAGTCCCTCAGCCCCCTGGAGAGAAATAGCCATGGATTTTATAGTGGAATTGCCAGAAAGCAATGGGAATACTGTGGTCTGGACGGTCACGGACTTGTTTTCCAAACAGGTGCATTTTATCCCTTGCCAAAAGATTCCCACTGCAAAAGCCTTAGCAAAACTTTTCATCCAACACATTTACAGATTGCATGGGGCACCCCAACGCATCATCTCTGACAGGGGGGTGCAATTTACGTCTGCATTTTGGAAGGAATTTTTATCCCTCTTAGGAACCACTCAGGGACTGACATCTAGCCACCACCCTCAAGGAAATGGGGGGGGGGCTGAAAAAATGAACTCCGTACTTAAGCAATATTTAAGATGTTTTCTTAGTTTCCAGCAGACCGAGTGGGCGGACTTACTCCCTTTTGCAGAAGTTGCCTACAATAATGCAGTCCACTCCAGCACAGGTTACACTCCTTTTCAAATAGCCACCAGTCAAAGTTTCAACCCCATGCCAGAATTAACCCCAAACGAACCAACGATCCCTTCGCTGAAAGAATGGATGGAGAAACTACAAAACACCTGGCCAATAGTCAGAAAAGCACTAGATGAAGCTAGGCAGGCATACAAAACACAAGCCGATAAAAAAAGGGTTGAGCCTACACCATTCATTATAGGAGAAATGGTGTACTTATCTACAAAATACCTAAAGTCCCTACAGCCCTGTAAAAAACTTGGACCAAAATATATAGGACCTTTTCCAATTAAAAGAATCATAAATCCAGTAACAGTAGAATTAGAATTACCCAAAAATCTCAGGCAAATACACCCAATTTTTCATTGCAGCTTGCTGAAAAGAGAGCATCAGTCACCTCTACGGCCAAAAATCCCCCCACCACCACCTCCACTCATGGTGGAGGGTGAACAACACTTCGAAATAAAGGAAATCCTTGATTCTAGGAGATATCATGGAGCAACTCAGTACCTAGTTGCCTGGAAACACCTCCCTCCCTCACAAAATGAGTGGGTCCATAAACGTCATGTCAGAGCCCCGAAGCTATTGAAGAAGTTTCACACAGAGTATCCTAACAAGCCTGACTAAATTTTATACTTGTGTTTTCTTTCAGGTGGATCTCTCTTATTTTTAAGAGGGGCCGGATGTCAGAATCCAATTATATTTCATCTTTAATTATCAAATATAGAAACTCCCAATTCTGCCTTCTCTGGATTCTGCCATAAGAGGGAGAGAAGGGGGAGAACAAAGGGGCTTTATGGCCCTCACTTCCTTCAGTATACTTCAAGGAGCTGAATGCTGAATGTGTGTTTATTGTAACCTCAAAGCGTTAGCACCAAAGAACCTTACCATAACAAAGAAGGGTATTTGCCTTTCATGTAGTTATCTGAAGTCTCCATCCAGACGGAAGAAAGAAAAAAGGGGGTGGAATTGTGATACCTGAAACTATCACTGGAAGGGGGGTTGATTGGGTGGGACTACTGGGGAACCCCTTAAAACCTTGAATGGGAGGGCTTGGACCCCAAGTCCTGTCTAGCATGCCTGCAACCACTTCTTCTTAATAAAGGATTCCTGTTGGAAGAATTATTCCAAGAGTTCTGTCTTCTTAAGATGCAAAGTGGGGTGGGTCCTTACACTTTGCCAGCTTTCTTAAACTTCAGGGAGTTCAAAAAACAAGTTGGGAAATTAACTCACACTGGTTGAAAGCATATACTCAAATCTATTTCTCCCCAGTTCTTTTGAAGAAAGTCAAATCCTCAAAGCATATCCTTTGAATATCAGAGTCACATTTTTTCTAAAAGTAAAATAAAGGTGTAAAAGCAGAAAATGCATGGAGTGTGACCAAAACTATGTTCACATTTGAACTGAATTCATTGGACTTTGAGTCTTCTGCATATTCATTGGACTTTTGAGTTGAAAAACAGAAAAACAGTCTCCATCTTTGCTTGCTTGCTCTTACCTGCCATAACAGTGGGGGGGGGAGGGGGAGGGGGAGACAGTGGAACTTTTTTATGAAGCTTTGCAGTAGCTGGCTTGGACTTTGCTTATCTCTTCAAGGTTATTTCATCTGGCTTCAGAATGCAGAAGGCAGAAACAATGCACCTAATACAGAGACTTTCCCAAAACATTTTCTACCTAATGATTGAACTTTGGTTGCTTAGTAACAAAGGGGGAGTGGGCCCTAGGGTTTGTTTCAGTTTGATGCTTCGCATAGTTTTGCTCCAGATCTTCTACTCCAGACTTCTGCTGTATTCAGTTCTTTCCTAGTAAAGTACTTTTTCTCTAAATCCATGGAGCCAAGGGTTTTCCTTTCCTATGGATTGAATGGAGGCAGCCCTGACACAACCTCAATACCAGCCTGATTTATGGAAATCTTCATAAATATACTTCTTATAATGTAGGTTTAATATATTTAATGTACATTCAAATTTAAAATACGGAATTTTAATTTAGCCATTGGCAGGCAAGATATGGCAAAGAAGGTGTTCAATAACCAGAGGCAACAGTTGAAAGAGAAGCAGAAGGACAGGATGGGACAATTTGCCTCAGGCAACTTGCCAGGGGACAACTCGCCATGGGTCAACTCACCGCCAGACAATCCAACAATTGAATTTAATTATTTAAAATAATTTAAAAATTATTTTAATTTTTGTCATTCACGTTTCATTTTGTCCCTCCTTTGGCATCCTTTCTTTAATGATTCTAAACCACCATTTCTTTGATATTAGTATAACTCTTATCTCATGGTGAATTGTCCTTCAGCGAATTGGCCATGGCGAGTTGTCCCATGGTGAATTGGCTGGGGTGAGTTGGCCATGACAGGTGATCTTTAATTGCCTTTGTACAAGGGCTTCTCCATGATTTGTCATTATCACTTTGATTATCACATTACAATTCATAATGTGTCTTGAAATATGTTAGATGCAGTTGCTTTTGAAAGAATGAAACTTATACTTGGTAAGAGTAGATGGATAATTAATATACCTTGTGCTCTCCTATAATCTCACTATCACATTTTTTCTCTGCACTAAACTGAGAGAAAAAGTGTTCAACTAAATGGAATTTGCATGCAGAAAAGGTAAGCAGTATCATGGTTTAGGACTTCTCCCTTTTTTTCCTGCAAATCCACCTTTGTTTATTTTGATAGTTTCCCCCTCTTTTTGTCTCTTGGGAAATGGGAACATTATCTACTTTCTCTTAATTCATAATTTAATTTTCAAGGTACAATAGGATCCAGATAATATATACAGCTATGTTGACCGAATTTTTCTCTTATTTACTTTTGGCATGGAATGTTACATTAAAATAAGCTTTTTAAAAAGCCATATTTTTTTAGCTCACAAGGATAGTATTTAATACTTGCAGAATTTAAGATGCAAAATTAGGGGGAAAAATTACTGGATTGCATAAAAGATGGAGAGTAAAGAGACCTCGTCTCCTACCTATCCTCAGTACAGTAGTATGAACTCTTGTCTCACTTCATGTATACTGGTCGTCTGCTCTAACATTGGAAAAGAAGGCTAAGTCACTTATAAGCAATGCTAACTTGGCTAGGATGTCTACATACAAAAAGGCAACATTTGACATATATTCTGATCAGCAAACTCTCTGGATTGGTGCTCAATTGCAAGGTACTTCTCTAAATTTGCTGTCAGAAGTAGCACTACTACTCTTCGTTCTCTGTAGGGCTGTACATAGACATCCCCCCTTGCCTTAAAAACAAATGCTGCTCCATCTATCTTTCAGGATGACACAAAGCGCTGCTCTGGTTCCTTGGAAGATACACCCAGGGGCAGTTGGATATCCAGTATCTTCGACTTGAAGAATTCTGCAGCTGACTTTTTATTGCGTTCACTCTTGGTGCGCACTGCCATCGAAGAGACTGACCGTACTAATGAGGAGTCGCGCAAGAAGAACCGGCATCAGGAGATCTTGGCCCTTTACTCAGCCCCTGATGAAGTGAGTAGAGATATTGTGATTCCCTTTGGCCTTCTATGGAATCTGATAGGATCCAGCAGATGGGAGCCACATAGGCCTACAAATGCACGTGTTTGCACAAAAGGAGCAGGCAACAGGTTGTGTAGAATATTTTTTCCTGCTATGGTCTTTGTTGAGTTTTGACAAAGATTTAAGAAATTCCATTTCCATTGATTCTGATAACAAAGGAGAACAATCCAAATTTAGATGAGTGGCAGAAAGGTATCAATAAATTTATCTGGGCAGGGAAAAAACCAAGAGTGAAACTTAAAATTTTACAAGATATACGAGAGAGAGATGGACTTAAGGTACCAAATTTGAAATTGTATTATGATGCTGTGGTCTTAACATCAATCAGTGATTGGGTTAACCTAACAAATGTAGATATACTCCTTTTGGAGGGATGGGATTTACTTTTTGGATGGCATGCCTATTTAATTTATAATAAAAAGGTTGATAGGGTTTTTAGATCTCATATCTTAAGAATTTCTTTACTTCGGGTTTGGAAGAAATATTATAGAAGTGATTCAAGAATTCCATTATGGGCTATTCCATGGCATGCAATAGAAGGAATAAGGAGAGGAGTTAAGATGGATACTATTTCTTATACACAATTACTTAAGTGGGATGGTAAAAATTGGCAATTAAAATCTATGGATGAATTAGCACAAGAAAATATTATTTATTCATGGTTTCAGTATAGACAACTATTGGAAAGGTGGAAGATAGATTATAATGTGGGCTTGCTTAGAGAGGATGAGAATTTGTTAAAACAAATTAGAGATCAAAGTCGAACCCATATTAAAAGAATTTATGGTGTCTTGGTGGAATTGGATTCAGAAGCAGAGCTAGTTAAAGATTGTATGGTTAAGTGGGCACAAAATTTTGATGAACCGATCTTATTAGATACATGGGAGATTATTTGGGTGAGGAACGTTAAATTCACGCAAGCCCAAAACTTACGGGAAAATTTTTATAAAAAGGTTTTATAGATGGCACCTTGATCCACAAAAAATGTCTCGTATGTATCCAAACCTGCAGCCTAAATGTTGGAGATGTGGTTGCTTGGATGCTACTTATTATCATATCTGGTGGTCATGTAAAAGTATAAAAGCTTTTTGGATTAAGATATGGTGGAATATTCAAAGAATTTTTAAAAGAAGGATAAAATTTACTCCACAATTGTTTTTATTGGGTATTGTTCCGGATTGTGATGACAAAGAGATTATTTTAATGTTAAATTTAATTACTGCGGCTAGGTTGTTAATAGGGCAATATTGGAAGAAGGAATTTTTGCCTACTTTGCAAGAATGGTTTTTTAAAGTTTCTTACTTAGCGGAAATGGCAAAAATTTCGGCTTTCTTGAAAGATCAATCGCAAGAGAAGTATCTCTTGGTGTGGAAAAGATGGATAAATTTTATAGTATGATATAAGAAAATATTATCTAGCTTTCGAATAATTTATATTTAAAGTTTAAGATATTATCTAGAAGTGTAATTATTATTCTTTAATTTTTAATTTTTTTATTTTTTTATCTTCCTTTTTTTTCCCTCTTTTTGTTTTTTATATATAATGGAGTTAAAGTATTTTACAACTTGTTTATTGAGTGTAATTATATTTGCTTAAGGTTTATTTGGGCTTAAAACTTTTTTTCTTTTAAGTTCTAGTTAAGCCTGTATTCAGCTCTGGGAAGAATGGGGGAGGGTTTTGGGGTGGGTTGGGAGGGATTGGGGAAGGGGTTTTTATTGTAAAATTTTAAAAAATTTTAATTAAAAAAAAAAGGAGAACAATCCTCACTAAGTCTTGGTGGGTAGCACTAGTGGTAACTGGCTTTGTATGACCTTATATTTTCTCTTTATGAAACCTTGGATTGGTCAATTTTTGCATCCCAAGTCATGCTTGCTTATTTTTAGTTGCTTGTTTGTTCTTATAACCCCTTGAAGTAACAATTAACCAACCAACTAATCTTTATTTAGTCATAACCAGCAGATAAAACAAAAAACTCACAATTAATTAAAATAAAAAAAGAAAAATACAACATTTAAAAATATTTAAGGAAAATTAGAGGATATACTACAACATACTTCCCCCCGAGGTTCGAACTACTCCCACCCTGCCAGCCTTTAAGAAAGCCGTTAAAACTCTCCTGTTCCGGCAGGCCTGGGGCTGATGTCCCTGGGAGGGGGGGCGGGATATGATTGGACATGCGGCATGATTGTATTATTTTATTGTATTATTGTTAGATGATTGTTTTAATTTTGTACGCCGCCCTGAGTCCTTTGGGATTGGGCGGCATATAAATAAAATTAATTAATTAAATAAATAATAAATACTGTAAAAACTATAGAGCAGTACTTAGCTATGGTCAACCAAGTGAGATTATATCAAATAATAACAATTTATGATAGAAGGAGTCAGAATGACCAGGATGCTTAATGAAAAATGAAGACAATAATTCCAGGTGAGGGGACAATAAAAAATAACATGATCCACCATTTTAATTATTTCTCCATCACATGGACAGTCTTTGTTCAAAAGGAATATTTTGGTATCTCTCTTCAGTAACAGCTGTTGGGAGGGCATTAAATCTAGCCAAGGATAAGTCCCTTCTAAATTTCAGAATTTTTAGGTATCTGGTTGGTGGGAGAAAATATGCATAATGTCTGAAGAATAGGCTTCTAGGTAGAACTGATGAATTTGCAGTTCTAAATCGACGGCCCATTGTTTGAGATCAGCTAGTGCACGTTCATAGCCCACCAGTGTGAGAGCTACTCGTGTAAAGCTATAAGGCTTAATTGAATTTAATATGTAATGCCTGGCACCAGAAAGACAGAAAGCTATCAGTCACAATTAAAGGGGTCAAGCCAACTAGAGCGAGGGGGGAAGCACTTAAGCCAGCAAGAGAAGATATAACTCCAGGCAGAAGTTTAGATAATTAAGTGGGCCACAGTGAAGCACCACATTTGGAAAGCAGCAAGGTACTTGAAAAATAAATCTCATAAACATGGATTGAACTCTTTTAAGGGAAATAAATGACCTAAACAAATAAAGGAGGAGAATTATTGGAATGTTGTACAGATAAATGCAAAGGCTGATGCAGAATAAAAATACAGTATTTTATGAGCTTTCAAAGCCTTTATCTCTCTTAGCCTCTGGCTCACAATTGGGTCAATGACATATGTTACTTTGACTTCCCAGGAGGAGGCAGTAGAACGGTGCAGCATCCCAGAAATTCCAAAAGAGCACTTTGGGCAGAGGATCTTAGTGAAATGCTTGTCTCTGAAGTAAGTCACAATTTCTGGCAACATAGAGCTGCCAAATGTCAGGTAGAGAAAAATGATTGAATGCAGACTAAAATGGTCTTTTTTTAAAGTGTTGTTTTTGCTTAATGGTTGGTACTGTGCAAAAAAGGGGACCAAAAGATGCCATCCAAGGTACAGCTTCACGTGTACTGGTTTTGCTGGAGGATGCACATATGTGTGAAGGAGCTACATTATCACTCAGTTCTGTTTACACAGCAGAGTTTTGTGATACACTGCAAACGGGTAGATGGCAGAGTTACTTGAGAAGTTACTTTGGTTTTGGATTCATATTCATGAGCAGTCGAAGCTGCATGCTCCTGGCAGCCCAGCCTGTCAAACCTGATGCCCAGAAATGCAGTTCGTACTGCCCACATACTTAGAATGGACACAGAAAAAGACTTCCTGGCATGACCAGTCAGAAGACATTTGCATCTCTAATGGATTTTGATTGATAGAAAAAATGTGGGGAAATGCAAGATATTACCTCCCTCCATTATTACACTTCTTAAATTTGAACAGTCATTAACTTCTGAATTTATTTATTTATTTATTTATGAGACTTATATACCGCTTTAAGTGCAAGCACTCTCTAAGCAGTGTACACCAGTAAGCAATGTATATATATATATTTACATTGCCCCCAACAATCTGGGTCCTCATTTTACCTACCCCGGAAGGGGTAGGTAAATGTTGTATGGGACTTCCTACTACTTGTTTATCCACAGATTTCCATTGTGGAATAACTGCAAAATCCTCCGTTTTTGGTAGAAATAGAATTTTGCTTAAAACCATCTATACAATTTAACAGTAAATTGCATTGAAATCTGTTCAAGTATTTGATAAGCAAATGGTAGAAGAATGTTTTATGAAAAATTATTGCTAGTTCTGATTCATACTCTGAGGACCTCAGCTGTGTCATTACAGAGAGGAGAGGTGGGAAAGGGTCCATCTTACTTTGACGCATCAAAGTCCACCTTAATGATGAAGCAAAATAGTGTGAAAATGCTTTGTAGGGAAATTTATCTTGGGATTTCTAAGGGGCACCAGTACTTAAGATCAGAAAACTTCATTTATCCAATGGCAGTTGAGCATCTTGTTTCATTTAGAAGAGTTATTAGAAGAAACAAGTCATGTTTTGCTTATATTACAAATCATGGATGGAGGAGTGGCAGTGATGGTTCATGATTCCTTTTTGATGTAGAGCTCCAGATTCCTAACCATTGTATTTGCTAGGGCAGGACAAGGTATTCAACTGTTTGCAATGTATTTCTTTTATATTCCTTTCCATGGATTAGATTTGAAATAGAAGTTGAACCCATCTTTGGATCACTGGCACTCTACGATGTGAAAGAGAAGAAAAAGGTACCGTACTTCTTGTTTTTAATTTTTCTTGGGTAACGACAAGAAGTAATTGGCAATGCCGTCTCTGTTCAACTAGAATCAACTTCAGACTGAAAGATAACCAGCCAGATAAGTACAGCAGAATGCCCTTGACAATCAGTTGCAGATTTTATATTCTGTTCCTTCTGATACCCTAGTTTGATAGACACAGAAAGCATTACCGTATATGCCGGCGTATAAGACAACTTTCGCAAGGGTTAAAATCGGCGCCGAAGACGGGGTCGTCTTATACGCCAAGTCGTCTTATACGCTGGAAATACTGGTAGTTTCCGGCGTATAAGACGACGTTCTAGGCATGCGACTCAGCACCGAAGACGAGGGTCGTCTTATATACCGGCATATATGGTAACTGGATTGCTCTGAAGAATTACACGCAGGATCTAATTAGCACTTTCTTTTTTTTTTATTGAAAGTTTTTTAAATTTTACAGAACAAATCCCCTCCCCCAAACCCCCCCACCCTCCCCTACCCTCCCCCACCTCCCCAAACCTCCCGAACCCTCCCCCAACCTTCCCAGAGCTGAATACAGGCTTACTTAAAATTTTTCAGAAAAAGAAAAAAAAACTTAAAACACATATAAATCCTAAACAAATCTAAATACATTAAATTAATCTAAAAAAATAATAATTACAATCATTAAACACATTATAATATACTCTAAACATTTTCTAATATCATACTTATATTATTATCCATCATTCTGTATAAACTCCCTCAAAAACACAAATTTAAACATTAGTTTCTTTGAATATCTATACCTACAATATAAAGTCTAATCTCTCCCTCTTTCTTTATCCTAGAACAAAAAATAACATTAAAACTAAATACTTAAACTTCTTATCTAAGATTTTCATTCAATCTCCATAATCTTCTCTCCTATCCAAAAAAAAAAAAAACACAAAACAAAAAACTTAAAAGACATATGATTCCTAAACAAATCTGGGTACATTTAATTAAACAAGTTATCTTCTCTTAAAAATAATAATAATAATAATAATAATAAAAAACCCAATCATTAAACACATTATAATATACTCTAAACATTTTCATATCATACTTATATTTATCCATCATTCTTTATAAACTCCCTCCAAAACACAAATTTGAACATTACTTAAAACATTAGAATTCCCTTATACACATTTAAATCTTTACCAATAACAAATTCCATCCACAATAAACACATTCCTTATCAATCTCTCTTTTCCATAAACCATTAAAATTCCCTTATACACATTTAAATCTTTACCAATAACAAATTCCATCCACAATAAACACATTCCTTATCAGTCTCTCTTGTCCATAAACCTAAAAAAAAAATGCTTTGAAAACTACCCTTAAAGCTAACTCCAAAAAATTTATAAATCTTGCTTCTCCCACAAACTCAGTACTCTATTGAATACTTAAACTAAGTACTTAAACTTAAACTTCTTATCTAGAATTTTCATTCGATCTCCATCCTTGTTAGTCTCTCTTATCCATAAATCTCAAAAGAATTGCTTTGAGATCTGCCCTTAAAGGTGGCTCCAAAAAGTTTATAAATCCTGCTTCTCCCGCAGACTCAGGAACCAGTACTTGTGAGACTTCCTTGAAGTCCTTCTTCTGTTGCTCTTTTTCTTTACAATTATATGTTGCACGAGTTGTCCTCTGCTCCTTCATCTCAACCTGTTGAGGCCCCTCAACTACTTCTCCCGCAGATTCAGAAACCAATAGTTGTGGGGCTTCCTTAACCTTCTTCTGTTGCTCCTTTTCTTTATAATTATATGTTGCACAGGTTATCCTCTGCTCCTCCATCTCAACTTGTTCAGGCCCCTCAAACTGAGGTTTCCCAATTTTCATAAGTATAGGCTCTTCAGACTGCAATTCTAGCTTCTTTTCTTCCAAAGCTTTAAATAAATGGCGATGAACATACTCCCAGGACCGAAGTATAAAAGTCTTTTGCTTGAGAAACAGTATTAAGTCTATAACATATCCCCAGGTAATTCACCACCATTCCAATCGGAACATCCCATCTGAACAGAATTCGTCTCTTTTTAAGTTCATCTGCTAAAAAAGCAAACTCCTTTCTTCTTCTTAAAATCTTTGATGGGATCTCCTTTAGAATTATAACATCTTGTGAAGCAATTTGAAATCTCTTCTTATAAAAAGCTTGTATAATTCCGTTGCGCAAGGATTTTTTCCCAAGGTAAATTACCACATCTCTTGGCAAATTCTTTTGCACTGCCACCGCAGAGTTAACTCTAAATAATTTTTCAATTTCACTAAGTATTTCCTCTTTTTCTTTATTCAAAATCACAGCAAAGTCCTTTGCAACCATCTTTCTCAGGTCTCCTTGCACAGACTCTCCCAAACCTCTGATTCTTAAGGCATATTCCATTTGTCTATATTGAAGCATAAGAATCTCATTTTCCATTTCTTTTTCCACGCTTTCAAATTTTCCCTCCATCAACTCCACTTTTTCTGTTACCTCTTCTACACGAGAGTTCAGCTTTTCAAGAACAGAGGCAACTCCTTTTAGAGTCAAAACTATCTCTTGCCTCAAAATCTTATTATTTTCCTCTAAAATATCTTTCATTTCTGCCCTAATTTGAGATATCACTTTCTTAAGACTACGTGATGTAGGTTCATTTCTTCCACTGAGTCTGTAATTATTTATATTTCCTCTCTTCTCATGAAGAAGCAGAAACATTCAGACTTTTGAAAGAGGGAGTTTGTCTCTAGGTTCAAGCAACAAATTCCTTAATGATCCTTTCTTCAATTACAAATTTCAAAGAATGAAGGATGGATCATCTGAGCTAAGCAGATGATGCATAGGAAATAGCAACAGAGAACCTTCCTTCCTTATAAATTGTACCTTATTTGATCCTCTTTCAAATTCCCAGTGACCTCAGACACAATAAGAAACTCAGTGGGCTGCATGTCCTGCTAACTTTATCATCCATGTTTCTGTCTTTCTCCAACTGCACTCCAGCCCTTACTGGGCTTCCCATTAAAATTGTTTTGGTGATTTTATTTTGTGTGATGTATTATTTCTTGTTTTAATATTTTTTCTGAAATTGCTAATTAATGCATATGTAGGTCCCTGACCTGTTGATCACACATGGTCTCCAAAAACCCCATTTGAGGTCTCTATAGTCCTACAAAATGTGATATTATCAATATAATTGTGCTAGAAATTTTACTTCTGGTTTTCCCATGTTAAGGAGAATTAAAGGGCAAAATGTGTGCCCTTACTGAGTCTTGGTCATTTTTTAACTTCCTCATCAAATCATCATTTTGCGTGGCTTGAGAAAGGTTGAATGAGAAAATGGGCACCTTAAGTCTCTGCAATGGCTAAAATAAGAAAAACAAATACAAAGATTTCATCTGGCTGAATGCCACTGGTTAATTCCTGTTGCTCTAGGCAGAGCATAGGAAACAAGTGTAGCTCCAAGGCCAAAGCCATTATTTCCTCCTATGCTAAAACATCTGCTGGATATTATGTAGGTCTGGCAGAAGACAAAGGGAATTACTTGTGTTCCCCTGTTGTTATATGAAGAGTAGATCCAAGTATCTACTAGGAATAACCCAGATTCCAATATTATGTTCATCAGAGCTGCAGTTAAAAGTTTCCTCTTAATCTGGATACAGAGATGTTGCCTTTTGTATTATTTTTATTGCTGTGAAGGTCATGAGGATATTTGATAGCATTTTTTACTGCTGTCCTCCTCTCTGTTTTATAGATCTCTGAAAATTTTTATTTTGATCTCAATTCGGAGCATATGAAAAGCCTTCTCCGAACTCACAGTGCTCATCCTGCTATCTCTACACTAGCTCGTTCAGCTGTGTTCTCTCTTACACATCCTTCTCCAGAAATATTCTTGGTGATCAAGGTGAGATGTTTTTTGCTCTTTTAATAGTCACACTCACAGCCATTCTAATGAATGCTGGGGAGCAAATAGGAGTATATATACCATTATTTTACATGAATATAAAAATAGGATAAATGTTCATACATCTATGAAGAAAGCATGAATTTTGGAGTTCAATGAATGGATTTCAATAAAGTTTGATTCTGTGAAATTGATGGATCTCAGTAAAGTTTGATTCTCTGAAACTGATGGATCTCAATAAAGTTGAAAGTCAGGATAATGAAACTTTAGTTTCTTTCAACTGCTTGTATGGAGAAGAGAGACTATGAGGGTAAAGGTTCATTCTCTGAGCTTGTGGGTTGGTTTCTGAATATTTCATTACTAGGTTAGGTAACATCTTCAGCAGAGTTTAGGGGATGTCAGTTTTCTTTTGTTTCTAAGGGCTTCAGGTGTAGGTGTGTCAAGAGAAGGTCTTGTGATGGGTCTTGTGATGGGTCAGGTGTGAGTCATCAGTGAGAAGCTTGTGATGGGTCTTGTGATGGAGAGGTTACAGGTCAGGGTCATTGGGAGGTGAATTACTGGTGAGGGAGAGGGGGCTTGCGTGGGTTGGTTGAGGGTATGTCTCTGGTTGGCTGTGTGGTTGATTTGCATTCTGGGGAGTTTGTAGGCAGGTTGTAGGTCAATGTGTCTGTTCATGGAATTGCTTGTGGAATGCCAGGCTTCAATGAACTCACAAGTGTGGCGGGTGGTAGCGTGGGCGATGATTTTAGTGTTGTTTCAATGAAACATGTTGTTTGGTGTTGGTGTGGGTAGAGATTAAGGATTTGGGATCGTGGTGTTTGACTGCCAGCCGGTGTTGGAGATCATGGTTTTTAATTGATGTGATGTTTGTCCCACGTAGAATTGGTTGCAATCGTTACAGTTGATTTTGTAGATTACATGGTTTCTTTCACCCTTCTGAATCTTGTCTTTGGTTCTGGATAATTCCTGGTGGAGTGTGGCTGTGGGTTTGTGGGCTATTGTTATTCCTAGGGGTTGGAGAATTCTGGCTGTTATTTCTGACACCCCTTTTGTGTATGGTAGGGTTAGTTTTTGCGTGGTGGTTGGCTGTATGATGTGTTGTGGTTTGGGTGCTGTGTGTCGGAATATGAAGTTTTTTGGATAACTGTTATGGAGGAAGACATTGAGCAGCCGCTTCACTTCTGCTTTTCTTAGTGTTGTGGTGCTGCAGTGTGTCCTGGCCCTTCTAAAGAAGGTCTGGACCCAGCTTTTTTTCTCTGTGGTGGGGTGGTTGCTTGCGAAGCTGAGGATCTGGTCTGTGTGTGTAGGTTTGCAGTAGAGGTGGGTTTCTAGTTCTCCATTATCCAGTCTCCTTATGTCGATATCAAGGGATGGGAGTCTGTTGTCTGTTTCCTCCTTGCGTGTAAATTTGATCCCAGGAATATGTTATTAAGTAGGTGGTGTGTTTCTTCCATTTGGGAGCGTTTGATGATGACAAAGGTATCATTGACGTAGCCTGTCCAGAATTTTGGTTGGATGGTGGGTAGAGCTATGGATTTGAGTTGTTGCATGACTGCTTCTGTTATTAGGCCTGATATGGGTGATCCCATTGGGGTATCTTGCACTTGCTTGTACATTTTCCTGTTGGACTTGAAGTATGTGTTGAGGCATAGATCCAGGAGTTTCATGATGGTTTCTGTGGACACGGAGTGTTCTGTAATGACATCATCTTCGTGGGTATGGTGTTTAGTGAGTAGGTGGTTTATGGTTTGTTTAGCCAGGTTGATGTCAGTCGAGGTGAAGAGAGCAGCGACGTTGAAGGAGACCATAATTTCTTCCTTGTTGATCTTGGTGTGTTTGATGCATTGGAGAAATTGTTCTGGGGAGTTTATTGAGTGGGTTGAGTCATTGACCAGGTGTCTGAGTTTCTGCAAGGTTTTTGCTAGTTTTTATGTCGGTATTCCAGGTGGAGACACAATTGGGTGTAAGGAGAGACTCTTTTTGTCTGCTCAGAAAATAGAACATCAAATAGATCAACTGGTCATAGAATATACTTTCCTAGGAAACACCTCACCTCTTCTTCCAAGTATTTCCTAAGAGCAACAGCAGACCAAAAAACCCCTCTTGTTAAAAAGAAGATAAAAGATGCACCCTCCTCCTCTAATATTTCATGCTCTCCATCTTTAAAATTTAAGGAAAAAAGATGTGTTTTCCTAAATCAGTCTGATTTTTACTTTCCAGTTTTCAAAAGCATCTGGCATTGAGATGTTTCTTCTGATCCTTGTTATATGTTTTTCAAAAACAAGGGATAAATCCATAAATCCTGTTTAATCCTTAAAGGCAAGTTAAATAAGATATTTTTGAGATTACTTATATTCTTTTATGATACTTCAATTAAATGTATTATACATTTCTTCTTCAGCTAGGAAAATAGGAATCAGATAGAACTGTCACAGTGGGAGCACTTATTTGTAGGCTGTTTTTCTTTTTTTTAAAAAAAGAATGTTTTCCCCCCTTTTCCCCAAGATAAATTGTTCCTTGGGTTTTTCACTTGTCCACTCAATATTTTATGCTTCCAGTTTTTAAAGTGATTATACAAAATTAGGATAAAATTAAATACTAAGAAAGCATGGCATCTTCTGAAGCTGAAGTCTAGTTAAGGATCCTCTGAAGATTCCCTGTCAATGAAAAAAGAATTAGATACATTCTAAGTAAAAAAAGTATCCCTTGTTCTAGTCACAAATATTTTGTTCCAACGGACTTCACACTCTATATACCATATTAGGCTGTTTAGGCATTTCAGACAAAGTCAATGTATACGTCAAGCCTCACAGAGTGACCAGGATGGCCTAGACACAACTGCTTTGTAGCTTGCCACATACTTGGGGGGAGAGGGGAAGTTTGGTATGTGAGCCATTAACAGCTGTTGGCTACTTCATGAGAACCAAGGATACCAGGAAAGATTGTTATTGAAGAATCGTAGATTCTAGAATAAATATAAAGGAAAATTACAGTAGTTAGTGCAGTGGAAATATTATCCAATGACAGGGAAGAAATACCCATAGACTTTATAGTGGAATTCTTGAGAGTGAGGGGAACATGGTGATCTGGACTGTAGTGGACCTGTTCTCCAAGCAAGTCCACTTTATCGCTTGCCCTGGTCTTCCCTCAACCCAGAGACTAGCCAAGATGTTTCTGCAGCATATTTATCGACCGCATTGGGTGCCCAAGTGCATCATTTCAGATTAGGAGGTTCAGTTTATAGCCAGGTTCTGGAAGGACTTTATAAAAAGGACTAGGTCCTCCCGGGACTCAATTCAGCTTTTCATCCGAGTATTAATGGAGCCGCTGAATGAGCTAACAATGGTGGAGCAGTTCCTGCATTGCTATATACCAGCAAACGAACTGGGCAGGACTCCTGCCGTTCGCCAAGGTGGCATATAATAATGTGATACACAGCAGCACAGGATTCACCCCTTTTAAAGTAGCTACAGGGAAAGAATTTGCACCCATTCCAGAAGGCCCCCAAGAACCCTCCTCCTCAGTAACATTAATAGACTGGGTAGTTTCCTTCCAAAGTGTCTGGAGCAATGTAAAAAGAGCTCTAGATAAAGCAACAGAAAGCCAGAAAAAGCAGGCAGACAAGAGGCGAACACCTCAGACTGTTTCATGTAGGAGATAGAATGTATATATCCACAAAGTATCTGAAACTGAGGCTACCTTGTAAAAAACTGGGTCCTAAGTACATAGGACCTTTCCCAATAGTGAAAGTGATGAATCCGGTTACAGTGGAGCTGAAACTACACAGAATATTTGGGTAAAGTACACCCAGTATTCCATTGCAGCTTACTGAAACTAGTTCATGGATCCAGAATGAGGCTGGTTGAGAAAGAAGCCTCTGGTCCCATTATGGTGGGAGGTAAAAAGCATTATGAGATAAAACGAATCCTCGATTTTAGAATATATAAAGGAAAGTTACAGTATTTAGTGCAGTGGAAAGGTTATCCATTGTCAGAAGCGAGTTGGACTGAAGCTCACAACATCAAGGCAGATCGCTTAGTAAATATATTCCATACTAAGTACCCTCAGAAACCAAAATGAGAGACAGGTTTCTTCTGGGTTTTTTTTTGGGGGGGGGACTGCCTGTCAAGCCTTACAAAGTGACCAGGATGGTCCAGGCACAATAGCTTGCCACATGCTTGGGAGGGGGGAAGTTTGGTATGAGAGCCATTAACAGCTGTCAGCTACTTCCTGAGAACCAAGGACACAAAGAGAGATGTTTATTGAAGATTGTGGATTCTCTCATAACAATTGCCTAACGTATAATTGGATAGCGTGACCCGCATGAAGAGGAGAGGGAGGTTTCTATTCTTTTAATATATCAATTTAGGCACAAAACCCCCAGAGCTGGTTTTCCTTGCAACAGTGCCGAAATGTTAATAAAGTTTTGCATTAAAGTTAATTGTCTCAGCTGTGTTTACTTCGTTGACAGTATAATTGTTTCCTACAGCTTAGAGGCTTTTATCTCTCACTATGTCTCAAATTGACTAGTCTCTGCTCCTTTCAAGGGATAATCACTTTGATTCTCTCTATCAATCTTCAGAGTGGGAAAGGTGTTCAGTGCATGATAAACTTTATTATGAGGCAAGATGTGCATTCAAGTGGAATGCAGAGCTAACCCTTGACTTAAGAACATAATTGGGATAAAAAAATTTCCATTGCTAAGCAAGGCAGTTAAGTGAGTTGTGCCCCATTTTACAATCTTTTATGCCAGCGTTCTTAAGCAAAATGTCTGCAGTTGTAAAGTGAATCATGAAGATGTTATGTAAACCCAACTTCCCCTATTGACTTTACTTGTTAGAAGTCAGCTATGGAAGTTCACAAATGGTGATTAAGTGATCTCAGGATTCTGTAGTCGTTGTAAACATACACTGGTTGCCAAATGCCCAAATTTTGATCACGTGATCATGGGATGCTGTAACGGTTGAGGACCGGTTAGAAGTTATTTTTCTCCAGCAGGA